GCCAAGCCAAGCCAAGCCAAGCCAGAGCCTGAAGCCAAACACCCTGGGTCGGCTCGGATTCCGCGCAGGGTTCAGGGTTTCACAACCCAGCGCAAACTCCGAACCGTCAGCTCAAAGCTAAGACCCAACCCTAACCCCAAAGCTCTAATCGCTAGAGTCAGACAGCCTCTAAAATCGCCTCCCTGAGACCCGCGCCGATGCTGCCGAGCCACTGCTTGGAGCGAGCTGGTCCCGCCACCGCATACTGGCCATCAGGCTCGCGTTTTGGGTCTAGGCTTTACTTGTAGGGGTTAACACAGGCTATGCCGAATGCGACTATTCAGCAACATCGCCCTTGCACTACTACGGTACTGCTACGTGCCATTCGCTGCCAGCCTTCGTCAAACTGTTAGCGGCACTTCCAGATTCCCTTTGTGCCGCTTTGAGCTCCAGAATCGTTACCATTACTGTATTTTCTTAGGGTTTTTACGGTTGGCACTGCTTTTCGATCTGGCGAGGTGCATGGCTTTACTCACCTCTGTGGAGCCGGAAGTTGCCTCCACTCACTGGCCCTTCTTCCTGTCCCTGCTCCGACGGTTTGGGAGTCGGTCGGGGCGGGAGGCAGATTCTTGGGCGAGAAAAGCATGATGAGCAAGAGTCAGAGTAGTGAGTTGCCAAGATGTTTGTGGTTGTTGTTGCTGCTTTTGTTGTTGTTCTTGTTCTTCGTGGTGATAGATCTGATAGTCGTAGGATGGAGGTGGAGCTGGAGAAGGAGTTGGAGTAGAAGAGCAAGAGGAGTAGTAGGAGCAGTCGTCGCCGCAGTGGTAATCGTCGTAGCAGTGGCAGCAGAAAGAGACGTTGAGAGTAGTAGAAGAGTCTATAGCAGTTGCAGTAGCCGCAGCAGTTGTGAAGGCTGCAGCAGCAGCAGTGGTAGCACAGAAGCCAGTATCAGTCGTAAAAGAGCAGTCGTCCTGTCGGAAGAGAACTATCGGTGGCAGCGGGGTTGGTAGTGGTAGTAGTGGTGGTAGTGGTAGTGGTTCCGGTAGTGGCACAGGCAGAGGCGGTGGTAGTGGTGGTGGCGATGGTGGTTTTGCTGGTGGTGGTAGTGGTGGTGGGGGCGGTGATGGCAGTGGCAGTGGTAGTGGTAGCGGTCGTCGTAGTCACAGTCGTCGTCAAAGTAGCAGTAGCAGTAGCGGGAGCAGGAGCAGGAGTAGTAGTGGTTTAGTAGTTTAGTAGTTAGTCGTTTAGTAGGTAGTAGTTTGGTAGTTAGTAGTTTTGTTGAAAAGGTTAGTAGTGTAGTAGTTAGTTTAGTAGTGGTGTAGAGGTGGTAGTAGTAGTAGTAGTAGTAGTAGTAGTAGTAGTAGTAGTAGTACTAGTAGTAGTAGTAGTAGTAGGCGCCCCCCCCCCCCCCTACCAACTACACTTGCTTACAACCGTCTTAAGAGCACATCCGTTTTACTTGGTATTTACAGCACTTTCGTCATGTACGAGCATCATAAGAGCCCTCAAAATCCACTGACCGAGTTTGCTAACTCGGCCTCTTGAGTTTGGACTTGCTGCGGGGGGGCGGGCGGGGGGGTTGGGGGGGGATGATCACGACAGTGTTACGCAAACACAACCAACAATATCACCGCAAGAGCCGTTTTACTCGATATTTACAGTACTTTCGTGATGTCCGACTTGCTTATATAGTTGCCACCCCTACTTCTGGACTGTGCGTCTTAAACTTTGCTGTCTCGAACGAAAAGCCGAAAAAACTCGAAATTCGCTTGGGGAACCGTTTTCCTCGGTATTTACAGTACTTTCTTTTCGCGACC